TTTTTAGACACAAAGTGCCCCTTGCCAAGTTAAGGCACCACCCAGAAAATGCCAGCTCTTAATTTTCACTCTTTTTTTGACTATGGAAAAATAATAGAACAATTCTTCTGTTGCAGCGAGTTCAGAAAGGTCACAACAGGTCAGAAAGTGTTTAACACTATGGATTCCTATTTCCAATCTCTGGGTTTATCTTGTGAATGATGTTTGCACAGCTAATGGTGTTAACACTCTGTGACACCCCTGAAAGGATCTCAAGGCATTGCAGAGTGCTGCAGCACCTGGTTCAGAATCATTGATCTAGAGAGTCAATCCAGGTAATTAAACTTATTTTGTCTTCACCAGTAAAAAAAAGGACAGTGAAACATGTTTTGTGAAAGTAGTGCTGCTTCAAGACCATGAAATACTTTAAAGTCTGAATGGTGTTGCCTGAGACTGGCTCCCTTTCCCCCCATTAAACTGAATTTATGTCCCCACTTTGTTTGTGAAACAAAAGCATTGCATAAAAGCTTAACACAGATTTGCTAGGAAGTTCCTTGTCAACTTTCTTTCCTTGCTTGCTCACTTGACACCAGTTTCTCGTTGGTACATGGACTGAGCATTTGTGGTTTTCAGCTGCTGCCTCACTTCATGTCAGAGCGTGTCAGTACTGAGAGGCCTGTTAGCTAAAAAGCAGGCAACAACTGTGCTGTTTCTGGACTCTCTGCTATGCATGAGAAGGCAGCTCAGTCCCACTAGCCACTGGGTTCTTGGCCTCCTGGCTAAGAATACTGCTAGTTACAAAGTGGACTCCCCTGGCCCCAAGTGGATGAATGAAGGGTACTTAGTTCTTACCTCTAGGCAAATAACTGATCCTTGATGCTCCTTGAACACTTTTAACTGCTCGCCAGTCACAATATTCCACGTTCGGATAGTGTAATCTGTGCTGCCAGAAAACAGCTCCCTGTTTGGCGCATCAAGTATGAGGCATAATACAGCACCGGTGTGTCCCAGCAGAGTCTGATAGCAGCGACCACTGGATACCCACCAGACCTTAACAGTGCAGTCTGTGCTTCCTGTCACCAGGAGGTCTGTGCTCATTTTCTCTTCCTCCTCCTCCGACTCGTCTAGAACATCCTTGGAAGAGTAGTGAGCCAGAGTCAGGACACAGTTCCGATGGCCACGAAATTCCTGGATTTGCTTCTCTTTGTCCACGCTCCAGCACCGGGCTGTCCTATCATAGGAGCCACTAAAGAGATAGTCTTTGGCAACCAAGATCCTATTAAAATGTAAATACAATTTGAATGCAAAAGCCCAAAATAAAATAAAATAAAATCAACCAATCAAGAAATGCCAAATTGACATTGTCCATGGTAATTCCTCCCCCTTCCCCCAGCTCAATGTATATGCTTTATACATAAGCATACACTTTTTCTTCCCCAAATCTCCTTGACAAACACACAAAGACCAGAATTCTGCTTCAGCATTTTTAAATCAGGTAACTTAAACTTACTTAGGTGCCCAAATATGGTCTAATTTTGGGCATACGTTTTTACTAAAATCTTGGCCAGCAGCATTGCCATGTGTTTTTCATTAGTTATGTGTTGCTAAATAACTATTTTAAAAAAAATAAAAACCCTTATTTCTTGTTATGGTTATTTAGATGTCCAAATAACACTGGCCTCAGAAAATAGCAAAAATATTTAGCTTCCAAGAACCTAAATGGCAACTGATATTTTCTAATCATTATACAATTAACAGGCAGATTAAAAAATACATTCGAATAAATATCACCACCACTAAGTCAAGGTCCTCACAAAAGACGGTAATCAGTATCTAAATTTTACAGATGGGGAACTTGAAATACACAGAGATTAACTGACTTCCCTAAGGTCCAGAAGGAATCCCTGGCAAACCTAGGATAATAAAACTGCTCTTCTGACTCCCAGTGCAGCACTCCCATCCACTGGACCATAAAAGATATAGTCAAAGTTTAGCATGTAGTTCATGACACTGTATAGTGCAATTTATGGCATATGCATAATAATTAAGAACTGGAACTGTACCACTTGGACAGTGCCGTAGCAATGACATTTCGTGCCCAGGGCAAAGCCTACAGCGGCAGCTCACCCTCGCTTGTCCCCCCACATGTCCCCCTGTCCCCCCATGCTTGCCCAGCAGCGCATGCAGCAGCAGGAGCCACCCTCTCCCCATTCCCGTGCCCCCTCCCCTCCCAAACGAGCCACTCACAGCTCCATCCCGCACCCCGTCCCAGCTGGGCAGAGCCTGTTGGCACTCCTTTCTTTCAGCACCCAGAGCGGTTGCCCCGCTCGCCCTCCCCCTTGCTATGGTACTGCACTTTGATCAAAACAGAGCCGTCTCTACATGCTGCATTTTCAAATTAAAGATGGGGAAGAGTGGTGAACTGTACAATCCGTTCTCTACTCTAGAAACGGGCTGTGGTCCTCAGGCACCCAATAACCTGCCCATACAGCCATCTAAGTGGGCACTATTTTAGTATCCTGCTAATTCAAGATGAACTGGCCCAAGCATTGAGCTCTTCTTATCTGTTTACAGAATCTGCTCCACGCTTCCTGCGCATTTGTTGTCCCCCTCAAAACAAATGCTTCAACTGTTTGATTTTTAAGTAAGTAAATACATTCCAGCAATCAAGAGAAATCCTACAACACGCATAAAAAGTCATCGTTTACTTTTAAATTAAGTTTTAACAGCGAGGAGTAATCATTCTATGAAGAATCCTGACTCATGTCCTTTTTACTGACACGAATGCCTGGCATGATGCTTTTTCTTAAGTATATTTATCAGAAGCATCTGTTATCAATTGAATAATTTCTTCTGGAATTTCATTCCCAGTGGTGGATTCAACTCCCCCTGCTGTGTGCCTTTCATTCCTCTCCTATCCCTAGTCTAGAGCTGTGTCAGCACTGTTGCTAGGATAACCAATCATTACAGCAATGAACACGTGTAGCAAGGAGTCAAAGATTTACACAACCCATTTTTATTAGTGCAGTAATGGAGAATACTAGTAAAAGACCATTTAACTGGGTCAGGTTACAGAAATGCAGTAAAATGGCTCTCTTAAAAAGAAAAAAAAAACTAGTACTAACCTGTTAACAATTGATGTGTGGCCACGGTAAATGGCCAGACACTGGCCTGTCATCACATCCCATTTCCTAATTGTATGATCTGCACTACAGGTGAAGGCAGCCTCATTTTCTAAGTGGCAAAAGGTGATGTAACTTTCATGCCCTAGGAACAGCAAAAGAAATAAAATATATTCAGTGTGAGTGTTTGCTAATGGAACAAACCCAGCAGGCAGTGATATGCTCTCTTTTGTTTAAATGAGAAGTAAGCTAGTTGGAAATGGGACAGAGCCCAAGCCTAAAGCCTGAGTATTTCTGAAGTTTTAGTTTTAGCATTTGCAACTGTGTTTCTCACAGGCAGTGTTTCACGGAAAACACGGCACTTCTAAATTAATAGTTTTAATGCAGCTGTTTTACCGTTTCATGGATAAATGAAATAGTGGTATAACAGAACATCTCAGGGGTTATTGTCAACCAGCTCGAGGCTCCTCATGTAGTTTGTTGTTTAAAGGGCCTTGCAAAAATCTTATGGATCAAATTCATCATTTATGTAATTTACCTAAAATCTCTGGAATTTAAACTGTAGCTAAGCTTGGCTCGCTGTATAAAGAAATAAAAAAATTAGTAGGGAAAAAAAATAAATAGCTTGGGGAAAAGCACTGTTTAAAGCCATGGAAACCTTGGGCAGCACCCCCCACCCCAAGGAAGGCAGAAGCAAGATTACCCCCTCTACCCACCTAGCCACCCTCTCAACCCAAATCAGCCTGGGGTGCCACAAAACCTAGCCAGCTGCCATGGGTGGAATGAGATGGATACTCTCACAGTGACATTTACCTCTGCTCTAAACAAACCAAGATATCATTTGCTGATCCCCCTCCTCCGCCATCTGCAATACTACTACTACCATAAACAGCACCAACAGCAGTGACAGATGTTTCACAAACTCAAGGTCTTTTATAGCATCTGATGAAGTAGGTTATTGCTTAGAAAAGCTCATGCCTATGTGAATGAGTTAGCCTTTAAGGTGCCACACTGCTCTATCTTCTGCCAAACTCCTCTTTGCAGACATCACAGTAGAGGCTGATCCAGGTCAGGGTCAAAGTATTGTATTTTCTTGCATACAATATGCCCCAAAATAAGATATGCACCTTGTTTTTGAAAGGCAGAATGAAGGAAAAAAGATCTTTCCTTATAGTAAGTAACTGAGTAGCAGCAGCTAGGAACCAAGCGGGAGTGGAGCCTGCTCTTTATTCTGTCCTCTCTTGATCATGTGCAGACTTTACTTTTGTTTTCACCCTGCAAAAGGTTAAGTGGCAGAAACTTCTGTTACCACATTTTCTCATTATAGCATGCACTCCAAATTTCAGCAACTAGTTTTTGGGAAAAAAAGGTGTGTATGTATGTGAGAAAATATGGTAAACTGGTGATGGGATCAGTCTGCAATGCTGTTCGTTTTGCAAGAAAATGGCCAAAATAGCAGCTCTCACAAGCACCAAATTCATATTTCTTTTGTAAAATTCATGTGATAAATAGAATTAACTCTTCACGAAGAATTAAACCTGAAAATATAGCCAACGTAATTAAGAGCTGAATGGACACAGGTAGAACCCCAAGCCCCAGCAGTAACTAAGATAGGTTACAGATATTAGTCCAATACACTTTTATCACTATTTAACAGTTAATGAGTAAATTATAAAAGAACTCTTACCCTAGCTATGTATACGGAGTTCTCTAGGGCAGATGAAAGTGTATATTAAAAATAATGAATAGCTTTCACTACATCAATTCAACCACCTTTGAAAAAAAATTAAAATAACAAGTGATTTGGTAGAAAGCGTGAAATTAAATGAAGCTCATCAATACATAGTCCTGCTCCTGGATGATTTTACTTTCTTCAGAATTAACCCTTTGTTTTAATCATTCAGGCAGGGGTTAGTCTAGGGATTGTGTTTCGCGGCGTAAATCTCACCAAATGTTCAAAAATAATTTCAGAATAAAAAATACTAACTATTTACATTTTAGGTATGAGGACATTATGTTCTGCTGAAGAAAATCCTATTATTTCATTGGATCTGTTCCTAGACTTCTTAGTCAAGAGATTCTGAATAAGTTGATCCCCTGGAATAAGTGCTGATCAAACAAGATTTCACTCTACAGAAAAGGAAATAACTGCAGCAATGAAGGAAATGTCAGTAAGGATTTCTTTTTTTTTTTTTTTTGATGGCACATAGTATTTAGCCAACTACGTTGGGACTGCAGCCCTGACTTCATGTGTTCCAGTATAATGCCCTTAAAGGTACAATCAGGACGGGCACATAACCTTAAGTAATAGCACAATCTTAATTTCATCTAAGTATCATGTGCCATCACGACATAAAATGATCCCAGCATACAGTAATGTTTGTAAACTGTTTTGGGATGAAAGAGTTAATATTACGAATGTCAAGTAAACGCAAAGACAAGCACGGTATTAGGCTACTCGACCAGCTCTAGAGGCTGGAGAGAACTGAACCATGCTGGGTGGCCTATGCCATGCCTTAGCATGAGCTGCATTTGGTCTTGAAACCTGGAAAGAAAGGACTCATGCTGTACCTTGGAAGTGGCCATGGCACTGGCTGTCTGCAGTGCTCCAGAGCCGTGCAGTGCCATCCTCACTGCCAGTCAGCAGCCGCTGCCCATCTGGACTCAAACTGAGCCAGTTGATGCCTCCTTGGTGTTCAGTGCAGACCTTCACCGCTGAGCCACTGTTCCCCATGCTGTTGGTCCCACAGCAAAGGCAGAGAACCCAGAAGGGGATCAGTTCAGCGTCCACTCTACTCTAGGAAAGAGCTTGGGATCTACAGCAGGGTCGCTTAGACCAACTTCAGCCATCTCGCTGGCCCTGAAAAATCAGCAGGTCGTCTAGACCTCTGCAGAAAGACATGCAGTAACAGGAAAAAGACACATGATACTCACTGATCCCCCAGCATGGATATCTTACCCATTTCCCCTCCTCTAACCATGATGCATCAAGCTAATCTCTGCTCTTCCCAAGAGCGAACTTGAGACAAAGCAGTTCTTACTGTTTTAGTGCAAGCAGCAGCACTGTAACACCCCTACCCTCACTTACTGTGGTTATAAGTAGGAGGAAGGCAGAGTAGCTTTGCACCTTACAGACTAATTAAAATCAGAGCTACATAAGCTTTCCTAAGCAGCAGCTCACTCCCACAGGTTTTTTGTGAGGCTGTGCTCTCACAGGCTGAAAACAGGTATCACCTTTGTGTCACTGTAAAGGCCAAGCAAACAGACGTCCATGCCCCCTGCATGCCACAAATGCCAGAAAGCATGTCACTGACAAAAGGTAATGGACTTTGGTGCCTCTTTTTCACGGTGGATGTCAATTTGTTGGTGGCAGGAAGGCGCGGGCAGCCCAGAGCTGCCCACACTCTCCAGCTGCCCCAGGTAGACGCGCCTGGGCTTCAGGGGCCCTGTCTTGCACAAGGGATCCCCAGACTGCAGTTCTGCAAGCCGAGAAACCCAGGGGTCCCCCATGAGCAGAGCCACACTCTCTGAAGCCCCCTGCGGTGGCCAGGGTCTGGCCCAGCAGGACAACGGGAAGCACCCTTTTCACCCAGCACAGTGGATCAGGGCGATGCGTCCTGACACACCTAATCCGCTTCCTTTGGTGACATCTCTTTATAGCCACAGGCCCCACCGGTTGGCAGCAGGGCCGTTCAGCCCAGCATCCTGTTGAGGGGATGCTGACCATCCCTGACAAGGCTTAAAACCCATTCTGGCTAGGTGTAGGAGGAAGCCTGGCTGAAAGTGTGATGCCCAGTGTCGGGCAGGCCAGGCCTCCCTGCGGGCGGTCTCTGGGCTTGGGCTCTTCTGCCCCTTGGCCACTCTCGTGTGGCCAGTCCTGCCTAAAGCATTTCCAAGAGAACTGATGCCAGGCAGGAACCTTACCCCATGGGCCATCAACCCCCCCAGCCACTCCACCCTGGTATTTCTGTGTCACCTCAGGACTGAGCCTCGGAGGGGGAAAAAGAAGTGGAAGAAAGGTCTTATGCTGAGGAGGGGGCTCCCCTTCGTGGCATGGGCTCAGGCCCCTGCACAAGGGAGGGCTTGGGGCAAAGGGCACACGTGGCCCTTGCCTGCCCCCCTCCCTGGGCATGAAGGGCATGGGCATGCCAATCCCAGTCCCCGCTGCCAGGGAGCTGCTGCTTCCCCCTCTTGCCACCTCCCTCCCAGCATGGCTGGGCTCATCCTAGCCCCCCTGCACCCACCCCACAATCGGAGGGGCTTCC